ACAGACTCAGTGTCAGTACTTCCCTAAGTTCTTAGGTACCTGCTCAGCCGTGTTTCCAATTGGGGTTACGCTAAAAGGGTACGCCACGCTTATGATTGAGCAACCATCCGCCCTTGCCTGAAGATGATAGTCCAATACTACTGTTATATACACGCTTTGTGGCCGAATTAGGGTTTGCACTATTACACAGAACTTCTTGACTAGATAGTAATGTCAATGGTTTTAACACCGAGAGCTTAAGTAGACCTTTTCTAAATTCACAATTTTTTATAGAGGGAATAATGCTACCAATGATAGTGAATTGGGACCTGTATTCAATGTTTTTTTTCTACACAAAGGTACCCCGTACATGTTAATATGTACCTACGCATGACCCTGGGACTGGCGACCAAAGCCATTTGGACGCTATGCCCTATATAAGCAAGTCCATCACATCAAGTGTATGGACAAAGAATGCCTTCCCAAACTGAATACGTTATGAAATGCTTGATTTTGTTATTTCTATCTCCTGCATATCTCTTTAGAGGGCTTTTTGCTCTCGGAATTTTACAATACATCGTAGCCTTAATGTTACAACCATAAGTTAAAGCGGTATCGTTGCCTGTCGCATTTTCCAATAGGTCGCCAATACTATGTAAATTCCCCTATTGTACATCCATGGATACCGTCCATGTCAAATTTGATGGCAAACACCATGGTAACGGAGGTACGAGGTACTTTCCGTGCAGATACTTTTAGTATGGTGTTACCGGGTACTATGTACCTGTACGTTTGCGCGGTTTATTAATATGACGGAGCTCAATCCACAAGAGTCCCAGGTGCCGGAATGGTCTCGTTTCATAACGTATTAAATTCTCTAATTCATTCCATCATAAAGGTTTAGCTTTGAAAAAAAGCACGAATATGGATGAAAATATCAATAGCAAACGGTCTAAATTGAATTTTTCAAGATCAATTGAAGAAGTAAGACGTATATTTCAAGGCATCGATCGAAAATAGTATGTGGACAATGTAAATTACGAGTACCATACGTTTCTTAGATACGGTTGCCATTCCCTGTGGCCCCCCTCTCTTTGCTACTACTACGGCTCTCCCCCTCTACTCTTCTCTTCTCTTACTATCTTCCTACACTACCATTCTCCCCATACAAACTTGCTCCCATACAAAAAAGGTACTGCATATCAACCCCCGAGCTCTATAAATCAACACTTCTGATGTACATTTCAACCACCACCACATTCCCCTTTTTTTTTCAGTTCTTTTGGTCCTTGGAATCCTTTATTTTCACCTCATTGCCTGTCTTTTTTTCCCCCATTTGCACCTTGCGGTCGCGCGCATCTCAAATCTATGTTTTTGTCCACCTAACTGACTTGAAAGCTCACAGTTACTTTTTTTTCCACATATTTTAATTCGTCAACGTCGAATTACTGTGAGTTGATCCTATCCCTATCATCTCGAAGCTCTGTTTTCCCTCGGTCGCAAGTGGTTGCGGGTTGCGCGCAACGCGTCCAGCAAACACTCGCGTCTACCCTCCCTCACTATCACCCCGATTTCTTTGAATCCTATGTCAATTGCGCATACAAACCTTGACTTGACCCGATTACACCTTTCTTTTCTCGCACAATACATTGATTGTGGCAAAAATTCCCAGAAATCGCCTCTAACATCCAACAGTCATCATGCCTAAGGAAGCCACCACCAAGTCCACCCGCAAGGCCCCCGAGAAGCGCGTCCAGCGCCGCAAGAAGGGTAAGTCGACAAGTAAACTGCTTGTTACCAGCTTGTACTAATATCCTTCCTAGACCCCAACGCCCCCAAGCGTGGTCTGTCCGCTTACATGTTCTTCGCCAACGACAACCGCGACAAGGTTCGCGAGGAGAACCCCGGTATCAGCTTCGGTCAGTGAATTGATTACCCAGCTTCGTTGTACATTATCTAACACCCCTACAGGCCAGGTTGGCAAGCAGCTCGGTGACAAGTGGAAGGCTCTGAGCGAGACCGACCGCAAGCCATACGATGCCAAGGCTGCCGCTGACAAGAAGCGCTACGAAGAGGAGAAGGCCGCCTACCTCGCCAAGGCTGAGGAGGAGGAAGAGGAGGAATCCTCCTAAATTGCCCTCTAGCTTCACTTCGTCTTTTACCTCTGGGCGTTTGTGTTTCTCTAATGGTTCTCCTGCTTTTTTTTTCGGATGGTTTCGTGCACGGTTTCTGGGTTTGGAGGACGGGTGGGGTTTACTTGCTTCTGAACTGTTCCTCTTTGCTCTTAGGGTATTAAGTTATCAATGGGAAATCTCAACCTTTAACCATGTTCCAAGTAGTTTTTAGATGTTGTAAGCAGTAATAAAACGTTAACACGCTCACTTGCTCCTGGGGATTATTCAATGTTGAGCTTCGATCTGTTGTGCGAGGAATCAACCGTCCCATCTTCAGATTGACCTCACTTTAGCTGATTGTCGGTTGCCAAGCCTCGGGGAAGCTTCGGAGAGCTCGCAGCTTCCGAGCTTTTTTGCCCCGCAAATCGGGGGCTCACCGCTTGCGTCATTCACCGCCCCAATAATCCGGGGTCGAGGGTCGAAGCTTAACCTTGAGTTTGCTTCAAGGATCTTCCAAGGTTGCTTCATTTCATCAAGAGTCCGCGAACCACGGACTTCTCATCGAAAGTTACAAATCCAGATCAAAGCGCAAGCCAATCAGTAGAAAACTCACCGAAGTCGATTCACCAGGCGTTGTCGAAAACCACGATGTACTAGGAACCTGCAGCTATCCGGAGCTTGGGTTTCGTGAAAACCACGACCCTAAACCCTCGAGTCCTCGCTCTGGGGATGCAAAATCTTGGACACTGGCGAGCCTTTTTCAGGGGGCTGAGACTAGGGCTAGTGCGAGTGAGCGCGCGCGCGGGTCACACTTTTGCAACACGGGCGTTGGTACGATGCGATATACGACATCAAACGATGCGATATACGACATAAAACGATACGATGATACGAAATAAAACGATGCGATGATACGCAGTACGATGATTATACGGGGCAGTCACAATTGGGACTCACAATGAGACCAAGACAGCAGGGCGACAATACGATACGGCTTCACCACAACGCCGGACTTACGAGGGTGAATCAGCATATGGTGATCGTCGCGTCAAAGCGCACTGGTAAATGCACAGGCTCTAACAGTTGCTTTATAGAAGCACTTGATCCAAGTGAGCATGATACGTCAAACCCGATACCTCCGTGTTTGTCTCATAGCAGTGATACGCCGGCATCTTCTTGATGCATGACTTCATTGCAGCATGCCCTAGCGCATCAAACAACACCATCACGGTTGCGACAACCTATATGCATCAGCAATGGACAGCTCCAGTGTCTGGTCTTATTAGATGTATGGACCTAACCTACTTCCGGAAACTGACACAGGTGGCCTTGAACAGGCATGCAATACATCCTGGTTTCATGGCGGTGTTTGAAGGCCTTGCTGTATTAATGTGGCTACTCCGACTATGATCTAAGTCTCCCCGATACGATTGTGCGCGGCGTCTGAACTGACACAGCCTGAAATTTCCCAAGTCGAACAGCCTTCCCGTGAGAGTGGAAGGGTTTCACGGTATGGGGCTTTACCTTCACGCGCGTTGAACGGTATATGTGGTGGATTTGTTGGATCTTGTGCTGTGTCAAACTAGTCTCTCTCTAAACCCTTGCTATTCATCAAATGGTTTTATATTTACAGTGGATCAGATATGAATCAACTCTGTTAAATGACTGATCAGCTCGGTGCAATTAGAAAAGTACAATATCCACAGACTAGTGTAAATTGTATGTCACTACTCGTGAACTTCTTTCAATCTTGGAGATTTATGCAGCCTGTCCGGTTCCTTTTTCGAGGCTCGACCTCGTTGTATAGCGTGGTTTCCATAGTGACAGTCTTGGCCCCAACCAGCCCTAATAAGCTCATTTAGCTCATTTAGCTCATTTACGCGAGTCATGTTAAGATTGATGTTCTAGCCCGTTCTAAAGTCAAGCTTTGCATATGGATAGCGTACTAGTTGACTAATTGTCCCGCATTTTCTATCCATGCTTGGGATACGGAGTACATAATGTATTGTTACACGAATGCAATGCAACCCGGGTAGAAGAGATTCGTGGCCACTATATTTCATCCGCAGCTGACTCGATCTGATCTCTACTATTCTTGATATGGAAAGGTCCAATAATAGAGAATTGATGGCGAGACATATTCTATCATAGTGCACACCCTCAGGTGATCATGTAACTATCTGGTCAGCAACACTAGACTTTGGGTTGTGGAGTATAAAAGGACCGAAAGGTCCGTATTTAGAAGCTTGAACTCAAGGTAAATTAGTAATCTACGTATTTGCTTTTCATACTCGTTAATCCTCGACTTTATAGTCCCTCTGGATGATTTCCTCCAAGTTGATGTTATATACAGTTTTCACGGTTATAGAAGGGACCAAATCCAGGAACCAAGAGTTTATTCACTTAGTATATCTGTGCATCCCAAACGGCTTGGTATTATTGTTATGATTGGTCTGAGGGATGAAACTGATGAGATCCCCACATTTAGGGCTGGGGAAGACCCTGTGAACCATGGAATCTGAGTCAAGGCTTATATAACCTTAGATGTATATATCTCCAGGGCCTCTCTACAACATTCATATATTCCCTCCAAGTTTAATTATTTCAAAGGCTGAACGGACTATGTCGGAGGACTCCACCAAGCCCCGCCATTCGCGCGTGGCCACGTCAGGTCTTGGATGCAAGGGAGAACCCTGTCAAGAGCCTCATAGGGCATTTTTCGCTCTTTTTTTCTTTCTTTCTTTCCTTTTTTTCCCTTTTTTTCTCTCTTATATTTGTTAAATAATCTTAATTCTCTGCACGTAAGCCTATTGGCTTTTTACTTCCTAATTTTTCCTGCCCCTCCCCACCATACTTCCCCCTCCCAAAGAAAATCCCCCCCCCCTTATGGCCTAAATCCGTGGACTCATGGCTCAGGCTCTGCGCGCATCTCGTCAGAGCGCCGACGACGTGGCGGTTGGCTTCTATGAATTTCGAGCTCCTCTCCCAGAACATGTGGGCGAGATCACATCGCTCACGTCCGAGTTATACGCAATCAGCGCATTATTATCCAGCTTAGAACATCTAGCCGATGATCCACGAAATCGCCGTTGCTTAAATATGATCAAGCCCGATCTGAACGTGGTGCAAGCCAGTTACACCTATACAATCGAGGACATCGGCGATATTTTCAGAGAGCTCGATGGCCCAGATGCTAGTCCAGCCAGGTACAAGCGAACATGGCTAAATATGGGCCGGTTCTTTTGGGATCAATCGAAATATACCCTACACACCCGTCTAACCAAGTATAAGATGGCCTTTAAAGAGTTCAACGACTTGGTAAGAGAGTAGGTGCTCCACAATAACCTGTAGAACAAGCGAATGTGTATACTTATCCACGGTCTTTATTAGTGGCCAATATACTTCCCCGCTCCTGGCGGGCCTCGTCAATGGATTCAAGATTCTACTCTCTATACAAGATAGCCGGTTTGCGGCTCGCTTTGAGGGTATGACTATCCGCCCAAATGACTCGCCTATCGACAACCGCTCGAGTTCCCGACCCCGTCCCCGTCCCCGTCCCACCACCCCGGTCAGGGACCGTCCGGCTAGGGAACGCCCGGCGAGGGACTACCCACCGAGGGAACACCCGGTGAGGGACTACCCAGTGAGAGACCACCCGGTAAGAAACAACGCGGCGAGTGACCGGAATGCACGGCGGCGGAGGTCATACGAGCGCACTCGACCGCCGCATCTGTCTCCACCGATGTCGCCTTCTTCCGGCACTTCTTCGGATTTCCCGCCGTCTGTACCGGATATCCCTACCTCGCCGCATACTTCTACTACTAGCCGCTCGAGTGCCCCTGATGTTATCAAAGAACACTGGGCCAAGGAAACATTCGGGTCTAGTGGCACCAGCACTCCTCTACCCTCTGTGAGAGAAAGGTGGGTTATAGATAGCCCGATTTGATTTTCGGTTGCTAATATAATTGGCAATAGGTCATACTGCCGCGGGGAACCACAGCCAGGCGTTAAACAATGGATTAAAGAGGAGGGCTTCGAAGAGCTCCTCCAATTGTAAGTCGAGAATATTTCTTTCTTTCGAACATGCTTCTAACACAGCATAGATCCCTGAACGACGAGTCGGACATGCGCGTGTCCTTCTACCTAAGGAGACCAGACCACCGCGTCCGCATCCTTTGCAGGGTACCCCACCGCACAGGGCCTAGTGACTACTACTGCTTACCGCTTAATTTACTCGAAGTGTTGCGAGATGGCTCTTGTCTCCGACTGTGCAGACGGCGGAAGCGCGGGACAGAGCTTGTTCTATGGACGCAATTGAAATTCACCACATTGGAAGGTCAGCAATAGCCATCCAGAGTTTGCCTTTGCTAAAGTGACAACGCTTACATATTTTACGCAGATCTGGTGTTATTCCATAACACATTCCTTGCCTTGCGCTCCCAGGATGCAGGCCACGCCATCGGAGATATCTTAGACCACGAGCTGGACCATGAAGATGAAGTTTATGGCGGGTGAGTGATATATACCAAGGGAACTAGTGCAGATGCTGATATATTCTAGTAAAATCACCGACGATCAGTACGTGCATGCCCTGCGCGTATACAAAGACTCGGTGACTGGAGCCGTAAGACTCCAGGCATCGGTCTACCGAGGCGAGATGAACCAGTATGTCCAGCATTTTACGATTTACATATTAAATTCTAATAACAAACACAGCACACCCGTCTGGACTGCTTTCGTCACCCACAACCTCGGGAAACGCAGTTGGCTTAGGTCATATGATTCCCGAACGGTGATTGTGCGTGATATCAAGCCCGTGATATTTATGTCTATGGATGATTATACACCCCCACAGACCTCACAGGGACACCATGTCCTGGAGTTCACAAGCTCTTCTGGTAAGTTAGACCTGAAACTTCCATTCTCGAGTGGTATTAACTGATTGGCCTTTTAGATGCTAGGGTGTTCCTGGATATTATGGATGAACTGGGCGATTAAGTTATGCTGGGGACTGGGGTGGGACGCAAGTTTATAATTGGAATCTCTGTTCTGACATGATGAGTTATGAGTTATGTTGATATGGCTGCGATGATTCAAGATTTCAAAAGCGGTGGATTTCGGTCTAGTAGGTCTGGTTTTTACTTTGGGCCCTCTTTGGCCTATGCTGCGTATGTCTATAATGATTGTCCTCGCCAGCGTGTTAGCACTTTTGAATCCCAGCACGATTGACCCTCAAACTACATATCTAGTATATTTTTCTCGAGCCTAAGCGCTCCGTCTCTTCGCCCAGCATCAAACGAGTCAACTGCTTGAGAACCAATCTGTTTTTCGTACCGCGGGCTATAAGTTATTTGCTATCAAAGCAGCTGGCGATGGTATACAATGAGCTTGACATATCAAGGTAAAACACCCTACCTTCTCAGATCCTCAGACCCGTTAGAATATACAAACACAGAAAGTAGATTCAATCAAATCCATTTGCAGGCTAATTAATGAGGGGTATCACACAAACAAAATGCAAAACGCAGAACGCATATTGTCAATCAAAGCGCGGGCAAATGCGATATAAAAGTGAGGAGGCATCACTTGGCCACCACGAAACACCATGAAAGAAACCTAGGGAGTCTCCTTGCCCTTGCCCTTGTCCGTTGCAGAGTCAGCAATATCGTCTGGTTCAGGATAGACCATGACCATGTATCGTCGCCATAGCGGGCATGTAGTTGGGTCAAACGGCGGGTCTGACGGATCATACAACCATTTTGTGGGCTGTGGTTTAGGTAGAGGCGTTGCTTCTGGCTTGGGTGGGTTGCGTTCAGCTTCAAGGTCCTCCTGCAGCCATCTCTCCGCCTGTTCTTCACCAAGTCTCTGGATCTCTTTGCGTCGCCATTCTAGATGAGCTTTGCGCTCAGCCATCTGTTCTTCGGCGCTTTTCCGCTTGAATAAAGTCTCCTCTCGCAGAACTTGGAGTTCTTCCATCTGCTTCTTGCGCTCCTCCTCGTCGGTGGAAAAGCTATAGAATCCAGTTCCACGGTTGCGAACCTCTTCTTCGGCATCGTAATGCTTTTTCTCTGGTGGGGTGGGCGAGCGGTCACGACGAGCAGCAAGGTGGGACATGTGTGACGCAATGTTGCCATCGGGATTAAACGCTTCAGTCTGAACGGCCTCTCCGTAAATCAAATTGTCAGGACGAGCAGGGCGCCAGCGTTCCTGGGCAGCTGCGCCACCTGCTTCATCATCTTTGGCGCGCGAAGCTTCCGCGGCTTCGGCGCGAGTGCCACGGCGCGAACGGCCAAATTCGTCTTCGTAGGAAATGATGGACGCATTGTCGTCATCGGATTCATCTTGCTTGAATGCCTCCTCGTTTGCGTGCTTGAGATCAAAATCAACCAGTACATCTTTCTCCTTGCGTCGTAGTCGGGCTAGGTAGGCGTCCGGGTCGGATGGATCAATTGGCATGTCATCATCATCACTGTCGCCAGCAAGGTGCAGTCCCTTCTTCATATCATCGTAAAGGCGCGCTTTTTCCTGCATGCGGCGTCGAGACCGGCTGAGTGTGTTGGAGTCGACGGAGCCAATGTCCTGGGTGCTCCTGTGGACTTGCTTGACGGCCCTATTGTCATCTGCGAGATCGGCAGCTGCGCGCTTCTGAGTGCCTTTGTTGTGCTTTGAAAAGATATCTGACTTTGGATTCTTCGAGGGACGATGGCGCCCACGCGACGAACCGGAGGTCGCATCTTGAGCGATGAGTGAAGAGAGTTGGGAGGTGAAGGCAAGGCTTGAGGTGGTTGTTTGTTCAGTTTTGTTCTTTTTTGAACGGGGTTGCCCGTAGAGGGAATCCTGATCAGCAGGCATAATGATGTTAATGTGTAATGTCAAGAAGAAAGATGCAAGTTCCACGGAAGTTCTAGGTATGCCCTACGCCCCCGGCTTATCGATAAGCCCGATCGCCAATCTACACCGCTAAATCTTCAATGTCGTTTTTCTGCCGGCTCTTGATGACTAAGGCCGATGTTCGGGGGCAGCCCCGCGCCCCCACTACTCAGGTGAATAGATCGCGTCGTGACTCAATTGACTGTTCTTTTAGTTTAATCTGATATTGAACTCTTTGCTGAGAATCAGAAAGTAATACCAATTGAAATAATCAAGAACGATCATTCAATCAGCATCATGTCGGCTAGCCCTATCTACCTCGGTGTCATTGGTAAGTGTCCCTCACTACTGAGCTTTGAAAGTCTGAATCAATTGAGTACTAACGATTTGATGAATTAGGTGTCGGAGGCGTTGGTACTGCCTTCCTCCAGCAGCTTGCCCGTCTCCCCAATGCGCCCCAGCTCGTCGTCCTTGCCCGTTCCTCCCAGACCCTCCTTGCCCCGACTCCCGCCTATTCCCCGGCCATCCCCGCCGCTGACTGGGCCACAGCTTCTGCTGCACCATCTCTGACCAAGACTGGCGCCCTTCAGGCCGAAGAAATTGCCACATATCTTGCCGCAGCCCCTGGCCGAGCCATTCTGGTCGATAACACTTCTGACATTAGCCTCGCCCGGCAATACCCCACATTCCTCAAGAAGGGCATCTCAGTGGTGACACCCAATAAGAAGGGGTTCTCCGATGACCTGTCCCTGTGGAAGGATATCTTTGCCTCCGCAGCTGAGGGCAAGGCCCTCGTGTACCACGAGAGCACCGTCGGCGCCGGCCTTCCCGTGTTGTCGACCTTGAAGGACCTTGTGGCCACCGGTGACGAGGTCACCCGCATTGAGGGTGTGTTCTCTGGCACTCTTTCCTTCCTCTTCAACACCTTCGCCCCTGCCTCGGGTGCTTCCGATGCGCAGTGGAGCGCCGTCGTCGCCCAGGCTAAGGAGCTGGGCTACACCGAGCCGGATCCTCGTGATGACCTGAACGGCATGGACGTTGCACGCAAGCTGACCATCCTGGCCCGTATTGCTGGTCTGGAGGTTACCCGCCCCGACTCTTTCCCTATTGAGTCACTGATCCCCGCTGAGCTTGAGTCTCTGCCTTCCTCCGCGGACGGCATTACTCAGTTCATGACCCGTCTTCCCGAGTTCGATGCCCAGATGGCCAACATCAAGGATACTGCTGAGAAGCAGGGCAAGGTTGTTCGCTACGTTGGTAGCATTGATGTTGCTGCCAAGGCTGTCAAGGTCGGTCTGCAGTACTTCGATAAGGACAGCGCCATTGCTGGTCTGAAGGGCAGTGACAACATCATCAGCTTCTACACCAAGCGCTACGGTGCCAACCCCCTGATTGTCCAGGGTGCCGGTGCTGGTGGTGAGGTTACCGCCATGGGTGTTTCGGCCGATCTTATCAAGGCTGTTGAGCGCCTGCGCTAAATTGCTGACCCTTGAGGCCTGGAAAGATACAACTCAAAATTTGACAACACATATAAAGAAACACCCTTAGATCCAATCCTCGTGTCATATCTACTATATAATTTATGGATCTTTCACAGAATCCCAACATATGCAGAAGTCTAGGCCCTTAGGAAGTCCTTCAATGCTTCTCCCCACACATCTCCCTTCTTATAAGTATGGATTTCTGGCACATTCCCCCTCTTCAGCCCATCGACCGCATTCGCAAACTCCTCACCAGAGCCCTCATCCTTAATCTGCTTAATCGGATAAACATAAGTGTGGACAATAAAGACAAGAGCCTTGGACACCGGCAGCCGATGCAATGTCTGACGCTCACATCGGAGAACAGTCTTTAGTGGCATCAGCTCTATTTCAACAAATCAACTTCCTCCAACATACCTGATCAACATTCAATTTCCCAACCTCAATAACCTCCTCCTTTTTCCCGGACTCAGCATGTGTTCCACCAAAAGCAGCAAACAGTCCCGTGTCAATAGTAATGCTCCAATTAACTCGTTTCACAAACTTCCCAACCTCAATACGCGCAAAGAATTTATCCATGCTGCGTCCAATCCTCTCCTGATAGCGCGGAACGGGGCCATGGATATCTGCCAAACGCAACCCGAGTTTCTCGCGCGTGTTGAAGCCAGCCGGGAAACAGGTCGCATATGCCTGTAGTACGTATTTCGGTTGTTCCTCACTGTCGGGTGAAATCTCAGGTAGTAGGATTAAGAAATCCTCGTCTACTGTCTGGCTCAGGATTTCCAGAGCTTGGATCGTTGGCGTTGTCGGTGACAGCGTTGTTGCCCAGGTCGCGCCTGTTACCAGATTTTGGAAGAGTGAGCCTCCAGCGTTTAGATGGAACATGCTCGGATATCGGGTTGGTAGGTATGTTCCCAGCATAAAGTTGTATAGTTCGCTAATGGCGGGCCGGATGCGAGGGTCCTCCTCTGGGGTCTTATCATTGTTGATTGCTACCACTATATCGTGGTGCTGGTCAAGTACGGATTTGCGGAGAGTGACTCGGTTCTTGTATGTTTTGTCCATCTGGATGAGATCTGATGGATCAAGATTCTCAAGTGCTATGATGTATTAGTTTGGATATGTGTCGAGTGTTGTACTATGACCCATTTCGTATAAAATCGGTTAAGGAGGAACTCACCCATGGTCAAGTTATATTTGTCTTTTCCTTTGAAGGGCCGAAATTGTAACGGCTCAGTCTCCTCCCAGTTGAATCCCTTTAGTGGTGTGATGGGGGATTTCTTATTGTCCGAGCAAGATGGCTTTGTCCTTTCGTATGTATTAGCCTTGCGAGATTGTCGAACCCTCCACATTGCAGCACACAAGCCCACGATAAAAGCACAAAGCAGGTGTCTGGAGAATATAGGCCATGCACCGATGTCTAGTTTGTATAGTTCTGCCATCCTGGTCAAATCATTCACCGTATGGTGAATCTAAGCTCCTCAAGTTTACAACCCGTACTCAACAGAGAGCTTTATGTACAGTCACTTACTCCGCACCTAGAAAGGGAATTTATCTTGGAGACTCTTGGAGCTTATCTCCACTTTGACTGGCCGATCTGTCCGTTCATCTTTTCTGATTGACTCACGAGACCGAGATGACCGGGGTTCAAGATAAGACCGTTGGGGTATTAGATTAGATACTACGTAGGACTTTGTATGATAAATTATAATCTGTAAGTATTGTACAATATAAGTCTTGTGATATACTTAAATCCTCTCACATGCAAGACTCAGTGTTGCAGTATCGTAATGACCTCAGAAAAAGAAATGCATGTTTGCTCAAATAGTCAAAACAGAAACCACAGAGAGACAAAACAATAACACAAAATCATAAATATCATCATATCTCAAGGGAATCCGATCATCATATCTGCCCCGAGCTCCTTTGTTTCAAGCTCCCATCTCCACTCAAATGTGGATTCAATATTTGAACAGGGCTCACATTCTCCTTCCGAGTCTCCCTTTCCGGACCGAAAGAGTCATCACGATCACCCCCTCGCTATCACCGGTATCCGTCTCCACGCCGCGCAGTCCAAAGGCCCTCCGCTGCCCACAGGGACGTTCATTCAAGCTGGGCGCGCGAGGGCGCTGTCGACCACGTGCCCGTCCACCAATATAGGGCACCTCCCAAAGAATCAGTCGGTATATCCAGATTGTTGCGTCGAGGAGTACAAGGAAAGCCCAGGGTCCAATGGTGATGAGACCGAGGAAGAACTGCGGAATCCGGGGTAGATTAGCGGCTGCGTCATAACACAGGGGTTAAGGGCTACGTTCGGAGAGAAAGGTGGAAACTCACAAAGATACGAGCTACCCAGCTCTCTAGGTGGGTAAGCTCTGGCGGAAGGATGGAGTACCACGCCATTTTGGGGTGGATTTGGTGTGCTGGTGTGCCTCGGGAGGGTACGGTTGCTGGTGGGTTGGAGCTGTGTCAGTGCTTTGGCGCGTTGCGACTCGGTCCACCACTGCTGACAGCTCTTTTTTCACGGTTTCATTTTTCGGGGTCAGTTGGACATTTTATAGATCCTCGGTTAGGAAATTAAATGTAGAGAATCGAATTGTACTGCCTCAGCTTGGGCTCCATGATTAAGGTACTTTGATCTGATTGGTCGGACCCTGGATACTCACGTGAAATCTGCGGCCTGGTATATCAGGTGTCTGCCCACATCCTCGGCTTCAATTCTGAACAACATCTACTCTTTTTTTCAGAGAATAAATCAACTCTATTTGGATTGACCGGCCAGATAACAGAGCAATGTCTTATTCGCGAGTCTCAAGTGTACCCACATAAGTATATGAGCTTTCCCAGGTCACAATGCTAGGGAAACATTGAATCGGAGCCGCACCCTTATAGGGCTGGGGGGCCTTCTTAGCTTCGCTCGTCACCCAATATGGAACTATCATGGTAGAGGATAATATGTCACACTTCGGATGGAAAATCGAACTAATAAATCGGTTAAAACCCCAAAAGTACTAGCCTTTTTACGCTGATGCATACAAAATGACCACTATCACTAGTGGGCTATAGTAGGTAGGCAGTGCTTGACAGCTATTACTATATAGTCCTCTATGCCCCCACCCAAGTGCATTCAGTAAAATTCCTCTCCATCCAGCCCTTATAGATCCAGTCAAACCATGAAAATCTTAATGATCCACGGTAATTAACACCCAAACCGCACAGTCACTATATTAAATCTAACCACCCCAGGATCCCGCCAATCGGGCGAACTCTTCCGAGCAAAACTCCAAGCCCTAGAAAAACAAATCCACCGAGCCATCCCTCTCCCCGACGGTATTGAACTTGTCTACCCAACAGCTCCCTTCGCACTAGATCCCTCCAATGGCAGTAGTACCGAACTACGCAATCGCCATGGATCATGGAGCTGGTTCGACACCGAATCCGTCGACGGTCTATACCCGGGACTAGAAACCAGCTTAGAGTCAATTGCGTCTATTCTCAAAGACTCCGGGCCGTTCGATGGGATCATTGGGTTTAGTCAGGGTGCCGCTATGGCCGCTATGGTTGCCTCACTTCTGGAAGGAAATCGGAAAGATGTGTTTGCTCGATTGGAACAGGAGGGTGGGATGTCATATCCTGCTTGCTTTGATAGCCTTGAACACCCGCCGCTCAAGTTCGTGGTTAGTATTTCGGGGTACGGGGCTTCGGATTTGGCTTATCGTGCTTTTTATGACCCTGGTGTTCGGACGCCGGTTATGCATTTTTTGGGGAGTATGGATACTGTTGTTGATGAGAGTGCGTCGATGAGGTTGGTGGAAAGTTGTTTGGAGGATGGGAAGAAACGGATTGTTGTATGGCATTCCGGTGGACATGTGGTTCCGAGTGGGAAGAGGGAACTTGCTGCAGTTGCGCATTTCATCAAGTCTAATGTGAGTTGAGAGGATGTTGTAATTTGAAATTCAGTCTATAGAGTTGAAGATAAGGGTCTATAAATTCCATTGGTTGAATAGCACTATCTGCGTGCAATGGGTTCGAGATGCTGGGACTAGAGGAACCTTCTAAGGATGTTGAAGAGCTGGACTAATAGAGAAATTGGAATGATATTTTGATATTATGACATCTAGATTGTCCACATCATGTGTACATGGTGATTTCCAAGATATGCCCTTAAGACAAAAGTTTTGATCGTGACCTTCGTGTTTAGAAATGACGCTGAGAACCCCCCAAATGTTGTTCGCCAAAGAATACAAAAAAATGCTTTACAAATGCAAACGGCCCAGGAGGCCTAATATGAACAAATCACAGCTTACCGATGTGAACGGTAAGCGTCGTAGGGGGCGTACGCGGGCTCGTCGTCCTGGCCGACAGGACCATAGCCACCGGTGCGCCAGCGATCGAGCGGATTTGTGATATCCGCCTGCCCGGGAGTCTGTGCATGGCTAAGGAGTCTGGATTCAGCCTCGTCGACCGAGTTGCCACTGTCGCCGCGCGATAGCGGCACACGGAAGGCCGGGTGGACCAGTCCTGTCGGGTCGGGGTGCTCGTAACCATTGTGCATATTTAGCGGCATTGCTGGCAGAGAGGGTGCAGGTGATGAGGCACGAGATGAGCCGGGAGACCACTCGCCTCTCAGAGTACTGCGGGGTGTGTGCGAGCGCTCTGTCATCAGGTCCTCGGGTCGGCCGTAGATGCCGCCTCCGAACTCGTCGCGGAAGTCTGCTCGGTCCTTGTAATACGAGAAGTCTAGGTGGTGCTCTGGGACGACCTCGAATGGTGAAGGTTCGGCGGACTTTCCGGGCTGGGATGCGAGCATCGGGTTCATTGCGATGTCGGAGTACTCGCCGCCCGTGTCTCCCTGGTCCAGACGACCCTGGTAGATGTCCTTTAATGCTGCGGCTGCCTTGGCATGCACCATAGGTGTCAAAAGTGGTTTGTATAGGGCGGGGTGTCCGAACTTGGAGTTCAGACGGTCTGAGGCCTTCTTGTCGGATTTGTTCACACCCAAGGCCTCGGCATCGCTTAAGTTTGCGCGATTGTAGAACTCGCAGTCGGAGTCAAAGGTCTTCATGCAGTAGACCTTGAACCCAAGCATCAAGAAAGGCAGGGGGACCACGCAGAACACCATGGTCCATGTGCCGCTCGACTTGGCAACGAGGGCGATGATCACGTTGGCAAGAATAGTAGCGAAGATCAGGCGATTGAATAAAACTCGCCAAAATGCACCACCAGACTCGTTCTTAGTTATAAACACGTACATCAACAGATACTTCTTCAACATGGCATCCACACCAAAATACAATGCCGTCACTGGCAGTACAATTGGCTGCAAGGTAGCGAAACAGAAAGCCACGGTGGCATAGAAGAGGAAGTAGTTGTAATAACTGGCGTAGTCGAATGGTGGCGGTGCAGTCCACTCGATTGCCTGTCGAGGTGTCGGCGAGAGGAAGGTCTTTGCGAACCAGACCCAAACCATGGTAACAAGCTGCACAAGATCAATCGCAGCGCCGAGATTACGCTGCAAAAGATACGTCACCCAAAACGGTGACACAGTGCATAAAGCGCTAACCAACTTGGCATACATCCGGCTTTCCAAAATGGCTTGCCAAGCGTCTTCGTGGTTGTTGGTTTTGTCAATCACGAACGACACGAAGTACCAAGCAGCCGAGAAAAGCGAAAAGACGATCAGATTGTTGAAAACGAAGAACGCATACAGATGTCCCAACACATGACGCTCTCGAGATGTTTTAGTCTTGCTGCCACCTTTAATAGAAAGTCGACGGAAGATGACCGGAAGCGCCAAATACACGAGCGAAGTCAGTGCAGGCGACGCAATACCCTGAACAGCAGCCCAAACGTTCGGATTCGCTGACAGCGAGGTCTGGAACGCTGGCCACACCAGACCGAGATTTGACAGGTTGGACAAGAAAATGGCAATCAGACCGTTAGGAACAATCCACACAAGTGTCAAGCATGTCACCCAGACAAAATTGACCAGTCGCTTCCACTTGCGTGCGGATTTTGTAAGTGGTAGGTTTTCCCAGATGATATCGCTGGGCCGCGGCGCAAGATTAATAGTGGTGCCCTCGGGGTGCTTGCGGCGAGCGTTCCATGCCACAGCATGAGCGTGCTCGATATTGTCCCAACTGGCAAAGCCGTAGGGCATCGCGTTTCGGCGATCAATCGACGCCCGTCCATGCTTGATTTCCTCTTCCAAAACGCGAATCCGGACGGATAGATAATCGATCGCGTCCACTTTCCCGCTAGCAAGTTGGTTGCGTTGTTTGCGAGGGGGCGTAGAGTAGGTCTTCTCGCGGGCAATCGGTCCGGATTCTTAAGGTACTTGGCCAAAACGGACTCGAGTTGTCGGACAACCTCTTCGTGTTCTTTGATAATCCGGGGCAAATCCCTGACGTTACGGCCAATCGCAGCTCGTGGGAGGGCTGCAGTGGGATTGACCTTGTCGGTTAACCGAAGGATACCTTCGTCGGTACGACCATTGGGTGGGATGTCGGTGATCATCAAGGTTCGGGCATGCAGACTGCGCTGGTATTCCGAGCTTTGGAAATATTGCCTCCGCAGATTCCGTATAACGCGATAATTCCTCCATAAGAAGAAAACGACAATGAGATCAAAAGCCCAGGCGCATACGACCTGACTCCAAATAGCCGTGGGATTGGTGATGTTGAGGGGTGTCATCATGTTGAAGGCGGAAGATGCCGATGAGTCGGTTGGATTCTTGCTCTGTGTGACATTGACCGGTATCATGACGAGGCAGCCGATTATGCTGAGACAGATGAAGATGTTGCGGCACATTTTCGTAAAGCGGAGAAAGATTGCGGCGTCCAGGCCGACTGTCTCGATCAGCTGCGGTTCCCGCGTATTGATGACCGGTTTGACCCAGGCGAAGAAGCCCTTGCCCACCGGGGGCGGAGTGTGTTTGAGGTCTGCATGCTTGACTTTGGGAGCATAGACAAGCGAGTGACGGGGTCGAATAAGGGAGAAGAGGAGGGCGAGGAGGACGGTGACGCCGATCGAGGTACCTAGCGAGGCCCAAATAGCAGTAACTGTAAACTGTAGCTTGTCAACATAGTGTTCTCTCTGTTCGCTCGGAAGAAACTTACTGCAGAACGAAATGGATTCGCAATAAGCTCGAGGAAAGTATCCGCCCCATCTGTGCGGGCATGCAAGCTCAAGTGTTGTATGTCCATTACGTCAAAAGCAGAAACGAGTGGCGATCCGGCATGAACGAGGGGCCGGAGGAAATCAAGAGCCCAGCATGAGAGGGAATAGATTAGAACGAGGGGAAGTTTGAGATGGGAAATTCGAAAAAGAGAGGTGAGACAAAAAGATAATATGAAAGAAAAAAAAAGGTGGACTTTGTTGGTCTGGCCTGGTTATTATTAGAA